CCCTAAGGCTAACCTCACAGGTATATTTATTTATAAATATACATGCCTGAGATGTTTGGAATAATTTTATAATAAATGTGGGATCATGGTGTCTGTATGACTGCAATGTTTGCTGTGCTTTTGAAAAGTTTATCAAGTCTATTTAGTTAACACACACCTTGCACAGAACATCAAGCACACACCTAATGTTTGAATATCTTAGCGTTGCATAAACTGATGTCTGACAGTCAAGTCACCTGATAGGAGAAGGAACTTCTTTATTTACCACGACATCATTTCCGGGGGTGTGACTCAACTCTGACAAGTAGCTCATGGCCATTTGCCTGACTGAATGGCCCAGGCCTGAAAAGGTTGTAGTAATCCTTGAATACGCAAATAAACCTTCAAGTCTGAAACCGAATCAGATTCCCATACATAAGTCGGGCTTGTACTTTCAGGATGTACATCTACCACTGATTAACCTTTTGAGTCAGCATAAATTAAGATGGCCACCAGCTAATTGACCTTAGCAAACACAAACATGGTGATTATGTCACTGAGTTAAAATATGGTGAGGTAGTAGCTGAGTTGTCCACTATTCATACTTTAAGCACCAACAAGATTGGGACGAGTGTTGTCTAATTTCACCAAAATGGAAACAACTCCATAATTTCTCAACAAAAATGATTTCAGTGTAAAACCTTTGCATTAGAGCAGAGGAGCCCAAAGTGGGGCCCGTGGGCCAAATTTGGCCCGCCAAGCTATTTGATTTGGCCCACCAACAGTTGCCAAAGTTTCAAGGTTGTAACCTATTATCCTACTGTGTGTATATTCACAGTATTTCCATTGGTCAAATGACTATATAAAAGGGCTGTATACATATACTGTATAAAAGGGCTGTATACATATATAAAAGGGCTGTATACATATATAAAAGGGCTGTATACATATATAAAAGGGCTGTATACAGCCCTTTTATATAAAAGGTAGTGAAGGTAGTTTTCATTCATTGTTCTGACTTTATCTTTGATTTTTTTTTAGGATTAAACGTGAGACATGAAATGACAAAAAATATTTAGATCAGATTTAACCACACATGTAGATTTGTACACTTTATAAGACCACAAAAACTCATATTTTWTCAATTTATGAAATGTCCCATGACCCTTTGYTACTTGAGCATATGGCAGACTTTCTCCAAGTGCACAGACTAAAACAAAMGAGGGCTATTGCATAGCTTAATCGTTAAAAATAAGGGACTTTACTTTAAAAAGTATTTGTATTTCATGTATTATATTACTGTATTTGGCCCGCAGCCCTGGATAGATTTTCATTTTGGCCCCCTYGGGGAAAATGTTTGGGCACCCCTGCATTAGAGGCAGCAGGCAGAAGTATTAATTTAAATAATTTTAATTTAATCTTCATTTAACCAGGCAAATCCCACTGAGGTCACACTTTTTTTTTTCCAAGAGAGGCTTGCCTCTTYCATGGTGGCCATCTTAATTTTTTGTTGACTCCATCCAAAACATGCATGCTTTTAGGCTTTTTTTTTAATGCTAGGACCTTTTTGAGTTACTTCAACTTTGCTGACTAATTAGGTTCAACTACTGAGTCCGAAGAGAATACATTATGTGAAACTCAAATAAACCGATTTGTAATTAATAAATTTAAAGTCAACATACAGTACTATATCAAGAAATACGGTGGTGTGCAGCACTGATCTAAAAATTAGTTCCACTAGCCCTAAAGCACTAACTCAAATATTTAGGTCTAATTCTAAAGCACTAATGTACTGAAAATTTAGCAAAAGCTAATTCTAAAGCACTAAAATAGCCCAGTCAACCCATGAACATTCTTCAACAAACAACATGAGTCACATATCGTCATGTTGCTCTCTTAATTCTTATCATTGACATTCCACATCTGTATTTGGGTTCATATGTTGTCACCTGGTGGATCAGTGACACACATATGGACAAAATGTGTGACAGTTTTCACCCTCAGCTGTTAACATTAACATTGATCAATAACATTTATAGACCTCAGTCAGTGCTTCTAAATTTAGCCTATAAATTTATCAAGTGATAATCCACTAATAAATTTTAAAATTAGCAAAAGCCCTAAAGCACTAATCAGGAAATTATTTCCCCTAGTAGTGCTTTAGGGGAACTGTGCCCACCGTTGAAGAAATATCAAAATCATAAAACTTCTGTAGTTCTTAAAACYGATTTCATACATGAGACAATGGAGCTGTACAGATCCTGGTTATAGATGGGTGTTTTTGAGAAGTGACTTCAGATTCAGTTGGACACACCCTAATAATACTGTACGTGTGCAGACATGAGCTGAAAGTGTTTCATCCAAGCTTGGGAAAGACAACCCAAACGTTTGCTTTGAATGCAACATCCCCCAAGGCCCAACAACTGATTTCTAATGTTGTTGCTGYGATTTACCGGCAACCWAGGCAACTGCCGCTCCGGCCCTGCRGACACCARGATGATTCAGTTTGAATTTACCTCAACGATGGCGTTAATTCGCACCTCTGTCCTGAGCGCCATGACGTCTCATCCACAACTCTCCGGTTGCTCCAGTTAAATGTGACAGAATTATCAGCAAAGAGGATGCAAATTCTGATAAAGGAAATATAACTCAGAACCTGTGTGTGTGTGTGACGGGGGGGAGGGAGGGGTAACATTGCAGCCATCATCACTGCCAGGTGTGTGAGCCCCACCTATAATCTCAGGGAGGGACCCAAGCAGGGAAGAGCTAGATGGGTGTGGGAGGCAGGAACGAGTCGGGGTGCAGCTTTCTGTTTTCCACGCYGTGAAAACAATCCTGTGTTCAAGCAGTTTGTTCTGACTTCTTGGTCTTCCTCGTTTTCTTCCCTCTTCCTCACTTTGAGCTGTTGAAGATCACAGCACGTCGTCAGCAGCAGGGACGCGTGGCCGAGGGAAGTCATTGCCACACATTGGAGTTTTGAAGGGTTTATATTTGTATCTGAAAGCATAAAAAGGTAAGTGCTTCAAAAATATGGACGCCTCTTCTGGTTATTCTAGTAAATTATACAAGCTTCAGGTCAGGGTTTAAACAAGATGTATCTTGGCTCACTTTCAGAGTCAAATTAGAAAAATCTCATGGATTCTAAAAGATAAAAAACGTCTTTTTTACATCACATGAAGACAAACTTGAGGTGAGGGTTATATTCTCTCAGGACTGAAACTTTTCAAAGGTCATCTTTGAGCCTCTGACAGGGAAACAGTCCACAGACGGAAGCGACCATCGGCTATCAGCTCATCTCCGATCTGAGCTGGAAAAAGTCGTATCCACAAACTGTTTTCARCCTCGTATTTCTCTTTCTGTTTCAGCCTCTCCTTCAGGTTGCAGTTTTCAGCTCCACTGTTTGGCTTTGTTCTGGCATGTTTTGAACACTCCCTGCTCCTGCTCTCTGACCCACAAACCTCGTCTTCTTCAGCCTCCATCACACCACTCTCTCCTGTCAGACTTCACCGCTTCAACGTGCTCATGGATGTGTTTTCTTCTGCAGGTTAGACGGTCAAAATAAAAGAGGGGATCCTCGTGGACACCAAGGTGATAATGGCGCCTTCGTCCATGAAGAACGGGCTCTTCCTTCCCCTCCTCGGCCTCCTCTACGCCCCGCTCTCCTGCCTGTGCCAGCTGACCAACGGCAGCTTAGCTAACCTCACAACCAGCAGCCCGACCACTCCCTCCGACCTCAGCTCCCTGACGGGTGTGCGAGGCTGCGGCGCCGGGCTGCATCCCATCTACAGGTTCCTGTGTGATCGTCGGGCGGTGTGGGGGATCGTCCTGGAGACCCTGGCCTCTGCAGGGTTCCTGTTCAGYGTCGGCCTCCTGCTGGCCCTCCTTCTCTGGACCCTGTGCGTGTGCGTGTCGTCTCGGCGGCGGTGCAACAGAGGCTACGGCGGCACGGTGTTCTGCATATCCCTGTTCCTGCTGGCCACCGCTGGGCTCTTCGGCCTCACCTTCTCCTTCATCATCGGCCTCACCCCGCAGACCTGTCCCACCAGGATCTTCCTCTTCAGCGTGCTCTTCTCTTTAGCCTTCTCCTGCCTGCTCGCCCGCTGCCTCGCTCTGCTGGGTTTCGAGGCAGCCCGTGGCTGGGGGGAGCCCGCCGTGGCCTTGGGGCTCTTCACCGTGCAGGTCATCATCTCCACTCAGTGGCTCATCGTCGTGCTGGTCCGGGACGAAATGCYGTGCGAGTACAGCCAGGAGGAGTTCGCTATGATGCAGATCTACGTGCTGTGCCTCCTGGCCGTTGGTCTGATCCTCTCCATGCACTTCCTGTGCCGCTCCTGCTCCTTGTACAGCTACAACTACAGGGGCCCCATCAACCAGCAGTGGAGGATCCACGCTGCGCTGCTCTTCTTCACACTGCTGCTCTCCGCATGCATCTGGGTGGTCTGGATCACCATGCTGACATGGGGAAACTCTGAGGTGGGCCGTCGGCCRGCCTGGGACGACCCGGTTCTGACCATAGCCTTGGTGGCCAACGGCTGGGTGTTACTTATGGGACACGGGCTGTCCCAGGTAGCCTTCTTCTGCAGAGGGGAGGCCAYGGCCAAGGACACCCCTGTGAGCTTTGCAGGTTGGACCAGTACCAACCCCGACATCCCTGGACTGGGAAGTCACAAAGAAGGAAAAGAAAATGGGAGCTTTGAGAATGAAAATGAGAACAAGAGAGGTAAGTTAAGGATTACAAACACACTTAACATTTACGTAAACAAATTGTTGAAAAAGAGCAACTCAGCGTCACATTAGAAAACTTTTCCACACGGCGTTGGTTTTATCAATTTAATAACCTAAATTTATCAAATTTACTATCAAGCAGACTAAATTTACCAAACATTTATTGACACAAATAAAGATGAAGTGACTCGGTTACTGCCATGTTGTTTTTCTCTGGAATCTGATTGTGTCGCGCTGTCAATAAGTGAAACGTTTTTTAAAGCCTCAAAGAACTAAAGGAGACCAAACATGTTTAAAGAAATTGCGATTTGTTCAAACAACAAAAATCAACAGCTGAAAGGAAAAGTGTTTTATTTTTTGTTGAGAAAATATCCCATTCATTTAAAAAAGAGGGGCGGGGCTTACAGAGAGCCACTAGTGTGCTCTCTCCTCTTCAACTTCCAGCTTCCAGTCCTGTGTCTTGTTTTATGTTAAAGGTTCAAACCAGGAAATATTATACGCTTTTGCTTTATCAGGTGTCAAAGTCGTTCAACATTTGTTTTGGATGATTAGTTTCGATTTTTATGAAGTGATGCTCTGTGGAGTTATCAGTAATCTTATTTTCAATAGAAATCTTTGAGATCATTTTAAGTTTATAACATTGGGCAAAAGTTCTCCTGGGAAAAATTAGCTAACAGCTAGTCTGATATAACTCTAATCTCAAGACTTTCATAGCTGTTGATRCAATCTGCAGTTTATGAATCTTTAGATTAGGGTCTGTTTTTAATTTTTTTTTTTTACAGAGATGTTTGAGGTTATTTAAACTGAAGACAAAGTCAACTGAAGTTTATTATAAGTAAAGTTCATGAGAAACATATTGGTGCATTCCTTTGATAGTCAGATGAGATTTCCATGTTCCAAGTTAAAAACATTWACTGGAACACCCTCTAAAAAGAAAAAATATATAAGCTGACCCCAAAATATAAGATGGCTGTGATAGCTGCAGTTACAAACCTTTGTTTTAACATCTGTTGGTTTGTAGCTCAGCCATTGAGTCACACACAAAGTTAGTTACAACCAACCAGTAATAGTTAATTTATCATTACATGGTTGAATGCATGAAGTACATTTTACCAGCCTGTAATATTTAATCTGCTCACCAAGTTCATAACCTAACATCTCACTGGTTTTCTGCCTTCCAACTGGAACATGGTTAAATAGATAGTCGRGTAAACTCTGAAGTGACTTTTGTCTAAAAGTTAACAATAGTACCTTATCAAACGTGACAGTCAGGGCAGAGATTGGAGAAAAATGTAAAATATATTCAAATATCCCCATGATAACTCCTGGTGGACTGATTCAGCAACGCCAGCAGCACATAGAGTCTATTCTTCACACGTGAACCATTGTTGGYAACGGATTACAAAACCTTATAAGTGAATGTGTACATTATTACAAAATCTGGTTTGAATGAATCACTGTGAAATTAGAGGTCGATTAAGGACACAATAATCAACATTAATCCTCGCTTCACTCAGACCAGCCATTAGCTTGTCTCCCTTGAAACGGTCTGAGCAAGTTAGAYTGCAGGTAAGATGCTGATAACTAATATCCACCCAGAAACACCACTTCAAAAAAAGAAAATCTAGATTATTTCTTTGAATATGATTTGGAAAATAAACATAAAAAACTCACACATTATAAAAATGATCATTAATGATAAAATAAGTTTAACTTAGATCTAAGCTCACACAGATTGAGCACTTTGTTACAACCCAAGCTTTTATAAGAAATATTATTTTACTGTGAAAGATGGTTTAGGTGAYTTTAAAGTGAAATCATTAATTAATTACTTTTTACATTTAGCAATTATGCATGAAAATTTCCCCCTTCCTTAATTCACTCTTGACTGGTTAGTACAAAATGTTGAAAAAATAAGTTACAGCATAAAAACTTTTCTGGTCCATTTCCAATCTTAAAGTCTGTGATTTAAAAAAAAGATACTGTTAAATGATTAAATATCCCTCAGAGCAGATAGAAGTAAATCTTCACACAAACAAGAGGAGAAAAAAATAATTAGCTGCTAAATGATGTGATTAATTAGCTACTTATTTTATTGGTACGTGTATGAAAGGATACTTTAAAGATAAAGATTTAGATATGATTAACTTTACTGATCGCTGAGGAAATATTTTCATTTGTAAAATAATTAGATCAGGTAAACAGTGCATGGTTAAAGACCTTTGATACTTGAACRCTGATTTAATCAAGATAATCAGAATTTCTTTTTGTTGTTTCATTGTGTTAATTGTTTACAAGAATATTCAGTGACTATCTCTCAAAACTATGAAACTAATGTGTATTTTAATTAACAGAAAAACATTTTTCTTGTGCTGCTTCTGAAGGCCAAGTTCTCTTTTGACAACAGTTGATTTTCACAGTTTTTGTCTTCGGCAAAATCAGGAACAAATCAGTCCGTTCTGGTTCCACAGTGCAGCATAAATTCAGCCGTCAGTCTGCTCAGGTCGTCGGTGTTAACTGCTGATAACGACTGGATAAAATTAACCATCTGTATCACGTCTCCCTTCAGGCCGGAGAGCCGAGCCAGTGCTGCGATCGCCCTACGAGTCCGGCTTCTCCATGACGGTGAGCACCTAACTGCCTCTGCAGTTTCACACTTTGACCTCTGCACATTTTACAATCACAGACAGGGAGTTTAACARATCTAATGAAAGTCAAGCTGATCATAGACAATAACCCCAGAAGCAACATTAACAGCTCATTTTGTGTTACAGGAAATCGACCCTAACAAGGATTACACCATCCCTCGCCCTCAGACCACCAACTACAACGAGCCGTTTGATGAATATTATGGAAGTGATTAAAATCCGAACGTCTCACAAAACAAATGTACTGTAAAGCCAAATAAAAAGGCGGACAAATAGGCACATGGAAATATGCWAATGTAAATATTGTTTGGGTTTATAAATATTTTAATGTAAAATCATCAGGTCCAGTAAGTAAAAAAGGCACATCTGTT